CACGGTACAGACACACGGTTAGTACGCTCAGGTGAGGGAAGCAGCAAGAGTACATCCTGTTTGTTATTCTCTCAACAGTCTAAAAGGTATAATCCAACTACGTTAACTTTGAAAATCTGATCATGTTCACTGTGTTCTGAAAACTATTATATTCTAAAAAGGGAAAGAGAACAGTATATCTGATTTCAACCAAACAAGGTTTCAAACTAAATTATCTATTTCTTCTTACAGAACTGAATAAACAATGCTGCAGGGACTCAGGTCATCATTTTAAATGTAATTGGAGGATTCAATTTTAATAATGGTAATACTGTAACATTACTTTTGCTTAGCTTCCATTGAGAGAAGCTCTCAGCTATCACATACGAACAACAGCGCAAACAAACCTGAGACGTGACAACAAGGTCAATTCTAAGCATCTTCAGTCTTAGAGTGAATACAATTCTAGGAAATTCAAATGATAAAATTCTGATTTTTCAAGAAAAGCCATATCAAATTGCACTTACTCCAGGGCTGTAAAAAGGGGAATACATAATTTTAAATGCTTAGTATCTTGCTGATTCTTTCAAGTTGGAGATAGAAACTAAGGCAAAAACATGTTGCTCAATAATGCTGTTATTTTCATTTAAAAATGAACACATTTAAAACATTACATAGTAGATCTCTGTTCCCTTTTGGTGACAATTTCATACAATTGCAAAATTCTCAGAAATATTTTACCAGTATTACATTTGAATAGCCAAGCATCTGAGAATTAAACATATACAAACTCGAAATTTCAGCCCATCCCCCTGCTCTACACTTTGCACTCAGAATGATTACCTGTTCAGTAAGCACATGCCGCTTTCTGAGATGCAAAGCCACTTTAATTAAGGCAATAGGAGCTCCTTACATGCAGAGGAAGATGTTGTATGTACAAGGAGAAATTCATACAAACATGATATGCTTTACATTTGTCATTTGACTCCTTATAGATTTAAAACTTGCATTAAGGCAACTTTGCCCTTCCTATACTTCATAATTTATAAACAGAATTCATAGGACACAACATTCCTTCCTAGAGTTGTTTATCAATAATTAAATCATTTTTGCTCTGGCCAGGTGGCTCATGGATTGGAATGTTGCCCTGTACACCAAAAGCTTGTGGGTTCGATCCCCAGTCAGGGCACCTATGGGAGGCAACTGATCGATGTTTTCTCTGCCCCCCCCCCCCAAGTAAATTAAAACATATCCTCAGGTAAGGACTAAAAAAAACTGTATTGTTTTTAATTAAAACCAAAAATAATTAAATCATTTTTAAGACTACCACTTAATGTGTAACAGAAAACAATGTCATTTGTACATATCAAAGAATTAAAATACCTGCTCAATGTGCCACAGCTTCCTCTGGTAGGGTTTTAAAAATACGGTCCATCTATTTGGCCCTCATGAAACTTAACCAAAAATCACATACACCCTACAGGGGTAGGAACAGTATGTGTGGTTTTGTTTTTTTTGCAGAGGTGTGGGGGGAAGAGAATCTGTGAGCTTATCTTTAAAGGAAAGCACATTATTACTTTCTCAAGCAACTAAAGAGGAAAACCTCATATGCTAGACTTCCAATATCTTATGTCCCTTACCCTTAGCCTTTTCTGTTATCTGAACCAAAACACAGAAACAAAATCATAACCACACACACACACACATGCACACATGTACGTACGCAGGCATGCACACACACTCAAACACACATCCCTGCTTTGCAGTTCAGGCTAACATTGAGCAAGCATGCTTGAATCTCCTTATAAACTGTTCTAAGAAATTTACATGCACATACACATTTTTATTAAGCTATTTAAAAGCAAACTTGCTAAGGAAATCACATCCTATTTTAAAGAACAAAGAGAAAGGAAGAGACTAATTTTAAAATCTTCCAATATGCCCTAGGTTATTAAAAAAACATAAAAGAATCAACCTGAGAGTCTATCAGTCTCAAATAATTAGATCCAGTAGGTATGAAAGGCAGTTAAAAAATGTTCTGAAAAACCTAACAATTCTTTAAAAGTTTTCTCAAATACTAAGGAGACATAATAATGGTATGAAGAAATGATTGAGAGCCAATAGTAAAACAAAAAGCTTATTTACTGTTTAATAAATTATTCTCAACTCATTTTCAAGGAGCAGTATTTGGTAAGATTCAACCATTTTTTAAAGGGATGAAGCACTGGTTTGCAGTCAGAAAGAAGAAAGCCATGTATTTAGAGAAATAGACAAGATAGAACTCTGCTTAAGATATATTTACATTCTCCACATGGTCGTGAAGGGAAGCCAAGTTTGCTACCCAAAAGATGCCCCGTTTTTTAGACATTACTTTAAGCTAGTTATTTTCAAGGGATGACTCAGGAAAAACCTTTGATCTTCCCCCTAACTGCCTAAAATAATTTGGATGGAGGACCTGCTCCAGGAAGGGAGCAATTATCACAGATAACTATATTTGAATATGAACTAGTGTGATAGACAGGGAGGAACATATCAAGAGCCATTCAGTCAAAGTCCTCTCTGTGTCCCACCATTAAAGATGGCAGGTCCCATATTCTTAGGGAACCCTCATATGTATATATGTAATAAATCTGGTCATTTTCTCTTGTTAATCTGTCCCATGTTAATTTGATGTGTCCAACTGGGAGAACTTAGAAGGGTAGCAGAAATTTTATTTTTCTTCCCCCACAGTGGTATGGTGCTCCCCTGGGGGACAAAGCTCAGTTTTGTGGAATTCATATGCTTCCGCGGTGTAAGTACTCCACCACGGCTGGTGTCTGGCTAGCAGCACCATGCCCAGAAGGTGAAGCTGGTAAGCACGGCACACCAGTCTACGTACCAACACCATGCCAACACAATCAATGTAAATACTCTCAGAAGCACAGATTATAGTAAAATGTAATGAAATAATTAGGAAGGGACAGATTTTGAGTATTTTATAGAACTTATTTAATTTTCAGTGTTTAACAACTGGTAAAGCCAATGTGGGCTGACTCTAACAAACCATTTATATGCCAGGTACCCAGAAAAGTGTAGACATCTCTGATTTTCTTAATAACCATTCTTAAATACTAGAAGAATATAAACTTAATTCTCAGAAAAAACTTTCAGCCCCTGCACCTAAATGCAGAAGTTGATTTTTAAGAATATGCAGGCCTTCAAAGGGTAAATGGATCTACTTCTTCATCACAAAGCTGGTTATAGGTATATGCTATAGAATTTGATCTAGAAAAAATGTATAGTATTTCACAGAACTTTTAGCAAAAAGAGGGTTGGGCTGTATTGTACTTCAGGGTCCCTTTGAAATAATATACATTTCCCCATGGCCTCCACACTCTCCACTCCTCTGATGCCCAAAAGAGAACTCTACCATAAAGCTTCTCTTATTCTGGAGCTACAAGTTACAGAAAATATTTATAATTAAAATAATTTATAATATATAAAATAATTTTTAAACAAACTAAAAGTTTGCTTATTCTCTATTCCATGAGAAGAACAGAGCAATGTGTCTATTAGATAAATGTTAGCTGATGAATGAAAACTAACAAGCCATTAGCTTTCAATAAGACTTCAGGAGAAACCCTGGAAATGAGACAGGGCTCCAAGTGGGTTCTATAACTCTCAGGGGAGGCTTGCTCCCCTTTCAGATTCTCTAATTTAAGGAAAATCATAGCAGAAATTCCTAAAATTTTAATTGGTAAGCAACAGCCTTATTTCTGTGTGTTATGTAGGTGCCAGTTTATGAGCTGTCAGTTTGTATATATAGAATGAAAAGACCCCTGGCTAACACAGAAACTGAAATAAAGTGACAATCAGGGCAATTTCACCCCAAGTGTTCTTGGACATGGAATATAATGAAAAAAGATGATCTGACTGAAAATACATTCAGAAGGATCAGTATATAAACAAGAAAAACTAATGTAAAACTATGAAAATGTTGAGGCACTGGAGATAGAAACCCAATTGTATTTAAATTAAAGCTGACACAGCTAATAGGCGAGGTTTTGTGTTATCTCCCTCTATAGCTTACTTCTTCCATGCACTTGGCCTAATTAGACATCTACAGAACACATATGGTGTGTTTTGCAGCCTACAGGCTGGACCCTGAGTCCTCAATTTTGCAGGATGAACATATCTATAACTCCTTGAGTTACTGAGGTCAACCTCAGGATCATCAATAAAAAAATTCTATGAAAATAAAAGCTCCTTCACATTTTCAATTTAAAAAGGTTACAAGGAAGGGATTCATAATGTAGGATAACAACTTTTTAAAGAATTGAGTGACTATGCTATATGTTTTCAAATTTAAACCATACAATCAAGTTATCTTTAAATTGCACATTAAATACCTGAATATTATAAATCACCTCAGATGAACGTTTATGTAAGAGTTGCAGTGCAACTTCTGAAAAACTTGTCACTTTTACTGTATAGCAATGATTTGTAAAGAATGATATGCTAAGTAATCCTAGAATATAACTTAGGGACACAAAAACTACTGTCAGAAAACAGCCGGAGATTACGTTTAATGAAATCTTTACAGACTGAAGTAATATACATTAAATTAATCAACACAGTTTAACTAAAGCTCTATTTGTAACATTTTTTATTGGACTTGTTATTAATGAACCTTTAAATGCTAAGGCTAACTTGAGCTCTATGTTAAATTTAAATAATGAACTTACTGTTCACACTCACAAGAGAACAAACGCTGCTTTAACAGCCTTTTGTCTCAATGGTGGTGTCACTCATGCGTAATAGCTAAGATACTGACTTGTCCTTCCTTCCTCTCCACAGTCGTTTCCATAGTTGGCAAGATATCACCTCTAAGGCTGCTAAAATGGTCTAAAATAATGAAAGTGAAATTCTTAAGAATGTGAAAATGAAGTAGCTAAGACTGGAAATAGAAAAGAATTCTGGCTGGCCTCAGCACGTTTTCCGCTAGCAGCCTCTCGGTGAGCTGGGGCGTGGCAGGGGCTTACCTGAACATGTCGCCCAGGCCCTTCAGCATTCCCTTCTTGGCTTTCACTTTATCCTTTTCCTTATCTCTGTCTTTTTTCTTCTCTTTTCCAGTTTTATCCTTTCTCCTGTTAGTCTTATCTCCTTTCTCTTGGTTTCCATTCATTTGTCTTTCCAGAGAATACGAAGGCTGGTCACTGGCTGTGGACACAGACTCTCTCCCTGATCTTGAGCTTTCTTCTGTGTCTTCTTCCACTTGGAAGAAAAAAACCCCACAAAAAACAGATAAGGAATACAGTGAACCACAGGAACAAAAATACATGAGGATTTTACATACGTGAGGATTTTATTTTCCCACATGTTGTACTGTACAGTCCTGCCATTAACGTGTGTTGCAATGCAGTCTACTTTTGTGTGGAATTAAAAGTGAATATGCAAGGTGGATGACTTCTATGCACGTGTGTTCCTATGTGAAGACGATGCCCAACAGACAGAAGCGGCTTCCCAGGTGGGTGCTGATTTCCCTGCAGTAACACCCTCCTTGACACAGAGCGTGTATTGCTGTGGGAAGTGGCTGGTGTTCATCACAGCGCAGGTATGTAAGGGTCCTTTTTATTATATTTGCAAAATGAAAAGAAAACAAGCAGCCTTTCCCCAAGTGCTTACACTCCTCCTGGGTAAGAATGAAGTGGATCCACTCTGGCCCCTTATTAATGTGTTAAACTAAACTATTCTCTAGTTAGCACACCAACGTTAGCACAAGAATTTGTTTCCTTAGGTTCCCAAACATATCCATTTGTGATTTCTGCGTCTTCACAGCCTCTGCAACTTTTCTTTATGTTGTCATTAAATAAGGCCAACATCAGAAGCAATGGTACTATGTGTTCTAATCCTAAATAATTTTGCATGCAGTCTACACAATGGCAGGTAAACAGAGGTGGATGGAGCCATGAAAATGTGTGACTCAACAGCCTCATACTCCTCTGAACTTTGTAGATAAAAGGTGTATTTAGTAATAATAAGATTCCATCCTTTGAATCAACATTTCACAAGCATACGGTCCAATACCCCAAACTGTTTGCATTTGAAGAATAACAAGTTACTAGAGTGGCTTTCCACCTACCAAAAAAAACTTTCAGAATTTCTGTATTAAGTGGGAAGCAATAGATGCACATATTAACAGTCATTCTCCTAAGATCTTTTCTGAGATTAACTGTCTGTGGTTTGGGGCTTTGAGTTGCTCCTTGAATTCTAAGATCATCTTTTTTCTATATCAACAAATAAAGTATGAATCAGTATTTTTAAGCTTTTTCTAATGTAGAAGAGTTAGGCCTCTTCTCAATCTTTCACAAAGAACAGACCTCTCAATCAAGTTACTGTATCTTCAAGTGAAATTCAGTGTTGCCTCTCTACCAGCAAGGGGGACTTAAGTTAGGAACACACAATACTAAGAGTATGATAAGACATATTAAAACAAACTCACTATCTTAGTGTTTTGCTACTAAACCCTCACACATCTGAGAAGAGACTATCAAATGATGACATGAGTACAGCCAAGTGATAACATTTTTTTTTAATGCCAGCTATTTACCATAATACTAAAAGAAAGTTGTACAATTCTTTTTGTTGACACATTTGGTTAAAAACATGAGCCAATATATTTCCCATTCCATCAGGTCATGCCCTAGGTCAAGCCAGAGAGTAAGAATATCACCAAGTCTAAATCTAGGTGGTACTCTGGAGGTCATTTAGACAAATTTCTTCCACTAAATGCTGAGGAAACAAAGATCTGGGGCCAGCACACTTCCAGTCTGGGGATCTTTCTACTGTTATATCCTTGTACAGTTGTACTTTAGCAAGACCTTCATTAATTTTTAGTCAACTCTGTTTGTGACTGCTAGACTGAAATACAGCACATATTTCAGTAATCTATCACCTAGTCATTACAGAGTCTGCCCAGAAGATAATTACAGCCGTCAGAAATATATTTCAGAAACCTGTGATCAATCCAATGTGGTCAATGAATGCTGTGACTTGTGGCTCACATTGATGAAATCACTCAAGAAGCTATGTCAAATGTACAGTGGCTCTAGGATGGGCTAGCAACTGCAGAAATGACTTCAGAAAGACTGACCTCCTTCAGTATTGGGTTATCTAATTGTGAGCCACTTTCCTCTTCCAAGGGACATGGTCAATTTTTAAAATTTACTTCTTTTCCTTTTTTCCAATTAAACATAAGTAGGAATTGTGTATGTTTTTAGAGGAAGTCAGTTACAACTTTCTTATGGTCACTGTTAGTAAAAATCCATAGCCTTGCAAATAAATGCTGAGTTAAGGCTGCAATTTTTTGTGGTCTATACAGAGTAGAGAAAGAATATCCTGGCCTAGTGTCTCAAGAGCTTGCTAATTATGTGAAGCCCTTTGAAATGACAGCCTCCCCCACACCAAGAGAATGTAAATATAGATTTAGTAGGGCTGCAGCATCTTGTCACTACCCTTGACATAGCTATGCTCTGATGGCCAACCACTGCCTCAACCCTTTGGGAAATAGGTGTGGACTCAACTTTGAGATAATTGGCCAAATCACTATAAAACAATTCTCAAAAGTTCTCAGGAGCTACAAACCTAGGGTTGTTGGTATATTCAAGTTACATACATGGATGGTAGTGGATTATCTAAAATTCCCAACATACAAAAGTCCTTTTACCTATACTTACATAACTCTTTGTATAAACTTTCATTATTGTACTTCTCATATGTCTGTCTCCCATTCTCTAAGCCTCTACAACGAAGAATGCCAGGCAAACAAAGGCTGCTCATAAATGGTTGATTAAATGAAAGGCTACTGGTAACCCTGACTCATGACTTTATCCCAACCAAGCAAGCATTTATCCAATCTCTGGGTATCACCATTCCTCTAGATTCAGAACCATGCCTCCCCTCTTCAAATCAAGCCTGAAAAAACTAGCCAGACCCCAACTACAGTAACACCTGGAAGGCCCATTATACAGTCGACCCTTGAACAAGACGGGGTTTAGGGCACCAACCTCCATGGAGTCAAAAACCCACATGTAACTTTAAACTCCCCCCAAACTTAACTGTTGACTGAAGCCTTACTGATAACATAAGCAGTCAATTAACACCTTTTCTATAGTATATGTATTATATACTGCATTCTTACCATAAAGTAAGTTAAAGAAACAAAAATGTCATTAAGGAAATCACAAGGGAAAATACACTTATAGTAGTGTACTTATTTACTAAAAAATATCCATGTGTAAGTGGACCTGTGCAGTTGAAACCATGATGTTTAAGGGTCAACTGTACTTGCTTTGGCTCTCATCAGTTCCTGGTATATTTTTTATTTATTTATTTTTAATATATCTTTATTGATTTCAGAGAGAGGAAAGGAGAGAGAAAGAGACAGACAGACAGAAACATCAATGATAAGAGAGTCATTGGGGACTGAGCCTGCATTCCCTGACCGGGAATCGAACCCCGATCGCCTGGATCCTAGGTCGACGCTCAACCACTGAGCAACGCCCCACCGGGGAGTTTCTGGTATATCTTTATGCTATTATTGTTAGTGCTGTACGTGTCATCTAATAGATTACCCAACCCACTCAAAATATCTGAAACTCTAAACAAAAAAATGAGGCCAGTAAATGTAAACAAATTTGTCTTCCACAACAGGAGTCCCCATAACTCATGAATGGAGTGTGGGCGATTCTGCTAGTTCTCTGCCTGAGAGCTGGCAGAAGTACAGGGACATATGTCTGCTCTTGGCTTCGTAATGGAATAAAGGCAGAGTCTTCACAGCTAACTGTACACTAAAGTCACATTTGTTGCCAATTCTTTTCATATTCATAATAATTTTCTGGTGTATGTAATTGCCACTTATTTTCTAAATTGGTTGAAACAGAGAATTATTATTAAATCACATATTAACTTTGGGCTTTATAAACTCATTTTATAAAATAAAAAATCCTAGCTCAGGTTCCTGCCCCAGGCTAGTGAACTATTTAAGATGATACCTGCACACTTGAGAATTCTTTATACTTATTTTAAACATTTAATTCAGGTAATACATTATTAGAGAACTTCTTCTGGAGATGTACTGATTTCACTAATCCCTTTGATGCCAACTAATTAAAACTATTTAGTAATATGTAGCTTCATATGTAAAAACGCAAGATGTTCTTTTAAAGTATCACACTATGTATGCCTCATACTCTAAAATTATTTGATAGGGAAAAATAAGAATATCACACTTAATCCCTATGCAAGATCACTCTGGTTTTAAAAAATAAACTGGCTACACATGCTTAACTTAAAACACACACACACACACACACACACNTACACATGCTTAACTTAAAACACACACACACACACACAAACACACACAAACACACGCACTCTCTCTCTCTCTTTCTCAAGGTCAATGATATACTAATCAGACTATTTTAAAGTATTAAGTCAAGAAACCTGAAGACGGTGGCACTGTGAGAAGCGGAAGAGCGGCTCCGCTCGCAGCCACAGACTTGATTTACTCCTAAAACCCTACATAACCAGCTTGAAAAAACCAGAGAAACACACCTGAGTGGACGGAGTGCGAGTGGGGAGCATTGAAGACACATCACGGAGTCCGGTAAGAGAGGGGGGCGTAGGAAGGGGGAGAACCCCTGAAGCCTGTGCTGGGCCCCGAGCCATGAGGCTTGAAGTCGGCAAAGCTCCCTCCCCTCGGGAGTGCGGACGGCATCCAAA